TTTATCTTGAGGTACAATAATATAAAATTCAGTGACATGTTTCAAGTGCACAGTTTGATGTTTTGGTGTATGTGCATACCCACAAAGCATCATCACAGTTGAGACAGTTATCCTATCTGTCCCCCCAGAAGTTTTCTCATGCTCTTTGATTGTCCTTGGATCCAGTCTCCTCCTGCTCTTCTTCCTCCAGCATGAAGACAACTCCTTTAACCTCACAACACCATCTTGATAGGAAGTACCGGGTTAAGCCCAAGAAATTCTCATGTAAAGACCTCTGTATCCATCCCCAAACTGAGTTCTGGAAAAGGTAGATTAGATGGCCCCTTCTAACTCCTCTGTAAATCAAACTGGCCAGCTCTCTTAGCATTAGGTGTTGCATTCAGTATCTTTTCCTGACCTTGGCTTTAGGCAGGGGTTGGAAGAAGCAATCAACAAAGCCTTTTCAAATGAGGATGCTCAAAGAACAATGTTCCTATGAGTCATATTAACAAGAAAATAGGAATTCATGTCATAGTTGATTTGTTCTTTAGTATTTTCAGCGTAAGATCTTCCTAGTGAACACAACTGTAGTTACATCATGTTAGCTGTAACTAGATCTTAGGCATTCTTATTTATGGCATCATACATTTCACCTGAGTCCACTGATAGAAATTTTTTCATTAACTTTTATTATTAAGTTAATTATATATTCCATTGGGAAAAAATTCCCAAATAAATTGAATTGGAAAAATGTATTGTTAAAATTGATTTAGAACATCCAGCCTACATACTTTTTTTAATGCTTATGTTGTAGAGCAGTATTTCAAATGCAAAATAAGTTCTTAATTCTGACAGTAATGAATTTAGGAATTACCTGATTTGTACTTGGTACACGGTTTTTGTACCTTGACTTTCCTTTTGTGTAATGGATAAAGAAGGGAGCAAATGATGCTTTCCCGACAGACGCTGATAGACAGAGAAGGCTTGAATGTGGGTTAAAGTGAAGGTAGGTCCAAGTTTATTTGAATGTAGTTATTTCTTATCAGTTAGAAATCTTGATCATAGGCTCGGCGCCTGTGGCTCAAGTGGCTAAGGCACCAGCCACTTACACCTAAGGTGGCGGGTTCAAATCCAACCCGGGCCCGCCAAACAACAGTGATGGCTGCAACCAAAAAAAAGTAGTCAGGCGTTGTGGAGGGCACCTGTGGTCCCAGCAACTTGGGAGGCGGAGGCAGGAAACTCGCTTGAGCCCAGGAGTTGGAGGTTGCTGTGAGCTATGCCACGGCACTCTACCCAGGAGGACAGCTTGAGGTTCTGTCTCAAAAAAAAAGACATCTTGATCATAGATTTTTTTTTTCTTGAGACAGAGTCTCACTTTGTCGCCCCCCTGTAGAGCACTGTAGCATCACAGCTCACAG